CTTAACACTATGTTAGGATTGTATTAGAGCTATTGATGGCACACATATCCCAGCATCAGTGTCCAGATGCGATGTAAGCAATTATCGTAATCGTAAGGGTGACATAAAGTGCCACAAGGTATCAAATGATGCTTTGACAAGAAGGTGACTTAAAGTGCCACAAGGTATCAAATCATTATTTATCATTTTCATTATTATTTAATTTCTCATTAATCCATTGAGTTGCATACTAAAATATATATTATCAGGTAAATTTTTTATAGTAGATTGTGGATTTCCAAATAGACGTCAGTTCTTAGCTCCTTATCAAGGAATCCGATATCATCTCCAAGAGTATAGTGGTTCAAGTCGTGAGCCTAGAAATGAAAAAGAGTTGTTCAATCTTTGTCATGCTTCTTTAAGAAATGTCGTTGAGAGGATTTTTGGTATTTTAAAATCACGATTCCTGATTTTAAGGATTGCACCTCCATTTCCATATGCAACACAAGCGGAGGTAGTATGATGAATCTTCTTCGTCTCCACCATTGTCAGTTTTAGAAGGGGATCTTGACCAAGATTTTCAAACACAAGAACAACAACGGAATATTGCTAATGAATGGAGATATAATATAGCTTTGGACATGTGGAGAGATGCTCATAATGATAACAATGTGAATGGAGGATAATGAGTCACAAATAATTCTAGTGCGGTAGTGATGAATTTCTGATGATGTTCTTGTAATGTTAGGTTTTGTGGTCGCGTTTGAGAAAGCAAAAAAGAAAGAAGAAAATATTACTTGTAATGATGAATTTCTGACTAATATAAGGTTTTGTGGTTGTGTTTGAAACTTGGAATTTGGAATTTCATCTAATTTCTTAGCTACTACGATTACATTATTATTTTGTGTATTTGAGTTCATGATTGTGCTTGCTAACACTTCAAATTTATTGTTAATGGATCTCATTTGTTTCAAAACGTTTATGTTTCTTGTGCATGATTTCATTTTATGTTATAAGATTCAACTAATAAATCCTAAGAAATCCACGAAAGAAATCCATACAAATACATAGAAATCTATAATAGAAATCCATATAAATCTGTCGAAATCCATATAGAATTGAGAGTCTTTTAAAATCCTTTAAAATCTGTCACTTAAAAAAAGTCTATTAAAATCCTGTGAAATCCAAATCAATTACACCCCCCTTAAATTAACAACTTCCAATCTTAATTTGTAATAGTGAAATAAAAACACTACATATGAGAAAAAAGAGGGAAATTCTAAAGTGCCGATGAGTGAAATTAAAACCCGTATCATTGCGTGGGCAATTATTGCTAGTAGTAGCTAAATTTTATTCCCTACAACTATATCCAATAGGCACCTTCAATTAACCAAAATAATAATTCTGTCTTTAAACATTTTAACATTTCAAATGGGTCCCTAAACTTTTGATAATTTCACTTTGGCCCCTGAACTTTCAGTAATTCACACAATTGCCCCAAAACTGAAAAAAATTCACCGTTTAGTCCCTGGTATGAAACCAGCAGGCTTCAGGTCTATTTTCCCAGAATTTTAACGTATATTATCATGCCAAAACACAATCCGACAATAGTATAACTCATTTCTTCCATACAAACGTCCTTTAAAGTCCAAATTTGATGTGTTTTGAATCAAACATCATATTCTCTAAATCTCATTCATATGAAACTTGTAGAAAATCTCAGCAATCTGATCATATGTAAATCTTTACCTTAATGTTTCAAAAATCGTTCTCCAATCATCAAATAGGCTTCAAAGCCCTCAAATTGTGCAAGAACAAGCTTGAAATTGAAAATTTGAGTCTAGTTAACCATAAACCCCAATATGAACCAATTATTCAAACTAAAGTAATCCTCAAAATTTACCTTCAAACGTTGGGTTCAATTCACTGAGCATGTAAGTGAAAACAGTTCGTCAATCAGATTCCCAATTCGAAAAATGCTACAAACTCGTGGTCTCACCTACTTTCAACCTATCACCTCCAAATAATCCTTACTCTCATGTAAAATTATCACCCATTTAAAAAGAATCATAAATTGTAAAAATTGAAGACACTTCAAAATTAATAACAACACTTTATAAGTACTTTAAAAATTTATGGTCTTACACAAAGAACTTTTGCTTAAGATTCATTGGGAGCGGACATGCAATCCAGTCTGAGAAAATCACTCCCGGACTACATTGTGCATATTGAAGATTTTAACAGGGCAAATCATGGAACATGTCTTTTTTTTCTTGTCTTATTTTTTGCAAGTTATTTCAAGAGCCAGGCCACCGTCTCAAATCCGATAATTGCACGAGTAAGCTCGAAGCAAAGATTCCTTATGGGTTTAAATGTTTAAATTCCTAGTACGGGAGTAAGGGATGATAAATTTAGGAGGTAATATTTCTTTGAATCAATATTACTAAAGGGGTTTTTTCACTAAATACTTTGTCCCGAGCCTACAAACTTACTTGCATTCTACTCCGTTGCTTATTCCATTATTTAAAGTTCATTTACTTCATAAACATTTATCGGATTAAGAATTTTTCATTAAGAAAATGTACAAGATAGGCAAATCTGTACACAAGCATATGCCTATTATCCAAATTCTCAAAAGAGATCAACACAATATATCAGTTTGAGGGAAACAAGCCCTCACCCCTGACAATGAAATATGATTACATAATACTCTTGATCAATGTCATCAGGTTTTGTTACTCGATCAGTGATCTGCTACGCCCACTTAGTTGCATACCGTAGACGATACTACCTTAAGGGTGCATATTCTGATGGAGATTTGCCACCATAGTCACCCATGCATGGAAGAGATGGAGAAGCCTGGAGATGAAGAATTCACAAGGAAACCCCATCGTCTCAAAAGGAATGGACACTAGTAGATGTTATGCACAAGGTGTCCGGCTAGAAGAGAATGGCTAGTAGGGCATCCCGGTGAGATTCCAAACACTTAAACCATATGAGTAACACATGGCGAGTGTTTGAATGAAGGACCACCACCATCACCGTTAGCAAGCATCAGATAAGGAACAAAGTAGCGATAAAGGGGCCCTTCGTCAAGTCCCCACGCTTTGTGCATATCCAACCCTTCAGCAAAGACCACATGGAAACCTTACGGAGGGATGGATATTATAGGACAAGTTGCAAGAAGAAATGAAGAATTTCTTGAAAGTTTATGGAAGGTGATGCGGTTTTCTGGGATTTTATTTTTTTTGTTTTCTGGGATTTTATTTTTTCTCAATAAAAGACTTAGAAAAGGATTAGAGTTAGGCAAGGAAGGCACATGCATCATGGCAAAAAATGGGAAGTGTTTGAAGGAAACCGCTGCTTGATGAGGCTATATAAGGGGAAATCACCAGAAGATCTCACCTTGAAAGTGAAGAGACGCGTATCTCAAGGTCGAAAATACACGAAGATTGAGGATAATTAATAAAACACGTGGAAAAATGTACCACGTAAAACAGAGGCGTTCCTCATTGCGGTAGTGGATCTTTTTTCGCAATTCCAAAGATTATGCGATGGAAATCGAAGCGACTCTACTACCTAGCTCTAAATGATGATCCAAATGTGAATGTAATAATTTGAAGACCAAACGGTACATACTCCAGCTTACGCCGAAAGACATGGTATTTGAAAACAATTCATCCTCAAGGGGAACAAGTTGCCTCTTAGATGGATAGTTAGGGGCGATTGTGGGACCATGATTTTCTGGAGTAAGGCTGATCCGAATATTGTTACCTCAGAAGTCCGGTCATGAACTCACCAGCTCCGGGTAAAACTCAGACGGAGAAGGATGCCATGCTTGTTTCTCAAGACACGTGATTTGATCTGGATATGGACACAATCAAATCCTATAAGTTTTGGAGTCCCTACAACCTAGGGATAAGTGTTCACTACAAGTAAGCACACTTTTAAGAGGATGCAATATCTACTTATTACATATCCTATCGAATTCTCCCAACTGAGAATGAGGTAACTATCCTAAAAAGGTCTCTCTCTTAAGGTATAAATGCACCCATCTAGGGTTCATCTATGGTAACACAATCTATACATTTGAATTCTCTTGCCCACTGCTTGAGTCTCAAATCATTCATTAACTTGACCATTGGAGAACCTTTGGCCTGCATAACCCCCCCCCCCAAGGGTTTGCTTATGGTTGTTTACTATTTTGCAAGTTGTCCCAGACTACATGGATTTGTGTTCAACCACCGCTTACGGAGATGCGCAAATTTGGTTCCAACAAACCCCATGGTGGGATGGTAGGCAGTGCAATCCCTTGTGGCATGATTAAGTATAAGCATTGTGGGCGCGTAAGGCTTTTGGCCTTAATCTTAGGTGTTATTATTTTGTAGGTGCAGATTCGTCAATCAAGGAAATGTGAAAATTTGCATCCACAAATAGCTTCAACAATCACTTTAATTCCCTCACCAATAAAAACATTAAAATAGATTGTTTTCTTTTGTTGCTCAAAACCATGCAATGAATTAGTGATATGCATAGATGAACCAGTATCAAACCACAAAGAATCAGCAGGAATATCAATATGATTTGACTCCTCACATACATATTGTTTAAAAAGAACCCAACGATACAATATATATATATATATATCGGAAGGAAAATATAATGTAGGGAGTTCATAGATCATGGGGAATATTTTCATTTTTCATGGTCACTTTAAATATCTTAATTTATTTAAAAAGAACCTGATTGACAGAAAACAACTGAGCCTTTGAATTTGTAGAAGATCATTTTCAGAAAGCCGGAATTGCATCTCCAATGAGATGTATCACATTTAACAAAGAAAATTAAGTTAACTCAATAGCATGTAAATCAATTCAATAAAATAATAAATTAATCATAAAAATAATGATTAAAACGTAATACTCTCTTGATTGAAGAATAAACTATCTAATTTACTGAACTATAATAATGAGAGAGAGAGGGTGTAGCAAAAACGGAGAGATGTGTAATTGTGAGGTATGTACTATCTCATCCATTGTGCCTTTATTTATAGTGGTATGGAAGGTAAATTCCTTACCTCAATAGGATTAGCAACTCTAAAATGATAATATATAGTCTAAGAGATATGGTAGAATCCCATAAAGATATTACAGATATGATAGGATTTACACGATAACATTCTTAATCTAATAGGACTGCAACATTATTATTATTTTAAAGTTGTGGAGTTTGTTTGTTTGATGGGTGTTTTAGTCCAATTATTTTTTGTGAAGTATTCGGACACCTAACTGGGTGCTTGTATTTAAATATTAGAGATTAAAGATAATTATAAGTTTAGTGGCGCCATAATTTTGTAAGTGAGCGAGAGGTTTTCAGACAGTCAAATCGTTTCGTTCTCTCGCCATTGCAGTAGAGTAAACTTTGCTTCGCTGATAATTTGGAGGGGGATGCCCATCGTTCTATGACCGGGGATTCCTCCTTTTTGAGAAGCATTTCTGTTTCTCATCTCTTTGGCTTGTTGACTTTACTCCGTTTTTTCTTCTTATCCCTCAGCGTTTCCTCAATTTCGAAGGTCCCTTCTCATCTCTCTCTCTCTCTCTCTCTCAACGTTGTGCTTTTTGCTTTAATCGTTCATCATTCCTTCTCTTTGGTGCCTTTTTTTTATTTTTTTATTTTTTATTTTATTCATTTATTTTACAGGAGACGGCATCATCTCCCTGGAACCTACGAGCTTGGTTTGGGTTTCGACGTCAATCCGCCAATTCCGGCGACGTCCAGTTGGTCTCAAACCATTCTCCATAACCTAAGGTACCTTCTAGACCTACTCCATGTCAAAATTTGCTTCAATTTTGTGATTTAATATAATTGGGTGTTACTAAATTTATCATGAATTTGTAGAGTTTTACGTTTAAGGTTCTGGTCTTGGAGAATTATTCATTAAATTTTTGGCTTCTTCAGTTTTGCTGCTCAAAGAAAAATGATCTAGGTTTTAGTTTAGGGAATTTTCAGCAAGTTAACAATTTTTTTGTACTATTGTTTCCAAATAAAATTTTGTGGTCCCCTATAGCTTCTGATGTGTGATCCAGTTGTGGACCATTCTGTGAATTCTGATAAGTTAGGTGGCCAGTCTTCCCCCTATTCAGTTTGTGAATTCTTCCATTATATTTATGGGTTTGGTATTGGTTTTTGATTTTGTCTAGAGGTGGCCTTCATCTATTGTATTTTCTGACAATTTCAACTTCCAGTGATGCCAAATGGATGGTTATATACTCAACAACTTAAGGCACATTTTTGGCGTGATTAAGTCGGCTTTTTGCATGATTACTTTGGACTAATCCAACTGTTCATTTTCCTAATTTCAACCGTCTATGTTTCTAAGGTTTTCACTCTTGCCTCCTTGCAACATTAGGAAATATAACCAAACAATATTTTATGTCTTTTTCCTTTGGTTTTATTTTTTATTTTTAATTCTTTATACTTGTCTGGGGAAAAAGTCAACAAGAAAATGTTTTAGCATAACGATGATCCCTGATAAGGTATATGGGTTCGGCATGCCTGAAAAAATATACGTTGAATTGATCAATGTATTAAAATACAACATCCACTTCTGCAACAAACTGAACTTTTCATGAATTTGTACTATGTCATGGAAGTATCTAAATCGGTGTTGACTGATTTTGGTTTTTCACTGTTTGGCTCAAAAAAATGCATCTTAGATTTTGGTCCATAAACATTATCGAATTTTGATACCTTATACCCCATATATAGTTCGAACTACAGTGAAGGTGCGTTCAATTGATATCTATAAACCTTCCCTTACTGCTTCTTTTTCACTTACAATTACAATAAGCTTCTTCGGCTTAAGTCTTTATTTAATTTGATTTTTCATCATATAGTTGATTAGTTGTTAATTAAAATTCAACCTTTTTACTTAACATTTTAAGAATCCAGATATTTTGCCAAATTGCAATCAGATTAGGATTGCATATAATCTTACATGATAAATATTTTGCTATTTGCATAATAATTCATAGATATTTATATAATTAAGCTGTTTATCTTCCGATAACGCACTCACTGATCACGTGGGTTTTGACTGAATGTGGTAATCGGGTTTTTTTTTTATTTTGTCTCATATTTTTGTATTGATTTTCTGATATCTACAAATATCCTTTAATATATTCTCAAAACTGTTTTCGCTCTTCTGTTTATTGAGGATAGGGATAAAGTTAATTTCCCCTAGGTTACGTTCAATTATTTGCCAATTTCTTTACTGTTGTTCCAGTATTTTTCTCATTTTAAAGGCTCTGAATTGCTTATGAATATACCTTTTTTTATGTTCAGAATTTTCGGTCATTGGCGCAACAAATTTGTTGCTTGACATTTTGAGGTATATAATTCGCATTACTTTTGTTTCAGTTTCTTCAGTTAGATAAAGAGTGGATATGTGTTTGCTATATTCCAAGTATCTTTTGTACGTACATACCAAATGTTATGTTGAGATGGAAAGCTTTTTTTATTAACAGCTGCATGGCTGGGTTTTTATTAACAGTTTATCCATTAATTTGAACTATCAAACTTTTTGTTAATTAGAATTGGCTAATTCTTTTTAAGAATTTGTTTTTACTTGCCACGTTAGTTCTTCTTCGTATAAGTACATAGCATGAGCATGTAGAATGTCATGGACTCATGTCTATGTGTCGTATGATTTGCATAAGAATTACAGAATGGGAGCATGTTGCGATGGTGTAAATGCAACTTTGTATTTGGTTTGTGTGTAAAACTTAGTCCACTTGGTGATTGTTTTCCCATTCTTTTCAACTTCAGTGTTTGCATAACATAGATTGTTGAGGAATTCAACAAAAAGGCTTCCAGATAAAGCCGCTTTCTTATTTCCAAGGTTTGTGCATATTTCTCCATTTTTTAAATGTTTAATTTTTTTAGTTACATTTTTTTTTTTTCTGTTTTATATTATTGTATTTCAAGGCCGACTTTGTTATATTAACTCTGAAATTTGAACACAACTATCTAAAATATAATGTTATTTGGAACTTTCCTAATTTCTGAGTACGCACTGCATTGATTAAGGTTTTTTAAAGAGAGTTTTAACGAAAAGCTCACGGTACTGTTTACTTTAACGAAAAACCACATTTTTATACTAAAAAGTCAATCCTGATACTATTTGGGGCGGATGCCTCCTAAAGAGTATTTGATAGTGCAATCTGTGTTTTTTGAATGAGTTGAAACTGAAAGGTGATTTCTGGGTATTTTCCTTCTTGTTTTTGTATTCTTTCTGGGTATTTTCCTTCTTGTTTTTGTATTGTTTCTATTTATCACGTAGGTCAGTAGCCTATTGGTGCTGTATTGGCCTCTCGGTAATCTAAGCCCTGGTCAAGGAGAGGAATTATCCTGCAAATGCTAAGGTAACCACTGCTTGGATAATTTGGACTTTGACGGAGATATCTACTGCTCTGTGGAATAGTAAATGCGAAGTAATCAGATAATATATATGTATACACTATACACACACAAAGACAAATTATATATATATAGATATCTGTGTGTGTATACATATTTTAGGACAAGCTTATTGGGTTATATGCATTTTTAGCATTGAATATCCTTCTGAGTTTTGTTTCATATGCTCATGTAAAGCACTGTTTATTTGTTCTTTTTTCTATTCTATTTGTTCGTCGTGTTCGTTGGTTCTCAACTTTGTCTGTTCTTATGCTCTTGTAAAGCACTGTGTTGATTATTGTGGTTAAACAAGATTCTGTAGGATGACTGTACTGTTTTGTTGGAGATAGAATTAACATTTTCTTTTAATTACTGGGTTTTTCGTTGCTGGGTTTTAATGGTGCAATCTGGGATTTTGAATTTGTTTAAACAGATAGGTAATTTCTGGGTATTCTTGGTATTTTTCTTCTTGTTTCTGTGAGTGTCATATTTTTGTATTGATTTACTGATATCTACAAATATCCTTTTATTTTCAAAACTGTTTTCGCTCTTCTGTCCATTGAGGATATGGACAAAGTTAATATCTCCTATGTGACGTTCAATTATTTGTCAATTCCTTTACTGTCGTTCCAGTATTTTTCTAATTTCGAAGGCTCTGAATTGCTAATGAATATACCTTTTTTTATGTTCAGAATTTTGGGCCATTGGCGGAACAAATTTGTTGCTTTACATTTTGAGGTATATAATTTGCTTTACTTTGGTTTCAGTTTCTTCAGTTAGATACAGAGTGGATATGCGTTTGCTATATTCGAACTATCTTTTGTATGTACATATCAAATCTTATGTCGAGATGGAATGCTTTTTTATTAACAGTTGCATGGCTGGCTTTTTATTAACAGTTTATCCATGAATGTGAACTATCAAGCTTTTTGTTAATTAGAATTGGCTAATTCTTTTATTAAGAATTTGTTTTTACTCAGCCGTGTTAGTTCTTCATATAAGTACATAGCATGAGTATGTAGAATGTCATGTCTGTGTGTCGTATTACTTGCATGAGAATTACAGAGTGACACCATGTTGCGATGGTGTAAATGCAACTTTGTATTTGGTTTGTGTGTAAAACTTAGTCCACTTGGTGAATGTTTTCCCATTCTTTTCAGCTTCAGTGTTTGAGTGGCGTAGATTGTTACATTAACTTTGAAATTTGGACACTTGCTTTGAATTAATGCTATTTCAAGGCCTACTTTGTTATATTAACTGTGAAATTTGGACACAAGTTTCTCAAATATAGTGTTATTTGGAACTTTCCATATTTCTGAGCAAGAACTGCATTGATTAAGGTTTTTTAAATTTAAGGCAGCGATGTTTGCATGCCCTAATCATATGTGAATTGAGGCTAAAATGGATACAAAGTTTGATGAGATCAATTCAAAGATTTAAATTAGTTTTCTAATCACATTAGTCACTTTGTAAAAAGAAAAGAAAAAAGAGCATCTCTTTCATCAATTATATTTCACATGCATCTTAGTATACATACAGTTCTCAGTTTTCTGTCTTCCTTTATTCTTTTATTTTTTGCGTGTGTGTATTTATCTATCTATGTATAAACACAGATATCGGATACTGCAAATCCCAGTTAGGCTGATAATTTTAACATGCATCTCGTACTCCCTTGCGCAGAGAGGAGATAATCATTACGAGAAACTCAATACAACAACACTTTTATTACTCTTAAAAGCATACTGTGAACCTTGAGCTGAAGTAAGTCCTCAATTTTCATGTACTTTTTATTTGTTGATGTCTAGGTAGTTGGTATTTACATGGTTTTTAATGATTAGATCGCCTAATGTGTATAATTGTGTTGTTTCTGATTTTGATATAAATTCCGTTTAGTTCGCAGTAAGATGAACCATGGCGTGTTTGTATTAATGGTATTGAGTATAATTGGAGAAACTGTTTGTTTAATGTGTACATCATGTTGTGGGATTTTAAAGTCGAAACCACTTGCTTTGAATCTTTTGGAAGAAATTAGTTTTGTAAAGTAATAAGACAACGACATTTCAGGAGGAATGGGATAATCAGTGTTTTTTCTTATTACTGGGTTATGAACCTTATGTCATCAAAGCGCTTCTGACTTGGCCTGGTCCGGTCGCCCTATGCGACTAGCACTTCAAAAGGCAAAACTCTTATCGTAGTTTGGCGTCCTAAAGGGCCTTTAGTCTTTTGATTAGACTAGGGATCACGAGAGAGCAGAGCGTACCGACCTTGCTATTGTCGCAAGTCTTTTTATAGTCGCAACTATTGTCATAATCAACAAGGTTGAAACTTCCAAGAAAAAAATTAGAATTGGGACGAACTAGCTGTACCCCAAACCGACGCAGGTGAACAAGTAGAGTATACTAGGGTGCTTGAGAGAAACATGTCGAAGGAGCACGGCAAAATGGCCTCGTAACTTTTGGAGGAGGGGTGCTCTTTATGTTTTGATTAGGAAAGTGGCACATACCAGGGGGTAGTGACTGTTAATTTAAAAACATAGGACTCTTCTATGTGGTAACACGATGTATATTCTGACACCTGCTCGATGTCAGAAGGTCGGAAGCAGAGGTGTTAGAAGCTTTGAATGGAAGCCCTAGTAAACGTCAACAGTAACTCTAATTGTCCTGCTGTCTTTGACATGGACCCGGTGAAATTGAATTCTCCATGAAGATGCGGAGTACCTATGGGTAGACTCTAAGACCCCATCCACCTTTACTATGGCTTCACAGTCACAACCTTGATCGAATGTGTAGGATAGGTGGGAGGTGGTGGCACACAGCCTATTGGTGCTATTTTGGCTGCTGGGTAATCTAAGTCATGGTCAAGGGGAGGGATTATCCTGCAAATGCTAAGGTAATCACTGCCTGATTGGATAATTTGGACTTTGATAGAGATATATATTACTGTGGAATAGTAAGTTCTAAGTAATCAGATAGTATACATGTGTAAGTGTATATATGTGTGTACATATTTTAGGAAAAGCTTATTGGGTTATATGCATTTTTAGCATTGAATATCTTTCTGAGTTTTGTTTCGTATGCTCATGTAAATCACTATTTTGATTTGTTCTTTTTTCTATATGTTCTCGTCTTCGTTGGTTCTCAATTTTTGTCTGTTCTTATGCTCATGTAAAGCACTGTGTTGATTATTATAGTTAAACAAAATTCTGTAGTGTAACTGTACTGTTATGTTTAAGATACAATTAAGTTTTCTTTTAATTACTGGGTTTTTTTGTTTACGATTAAGTTTTCTTTTAATTACTAGGTGGGTTTTTTGTTTCTGGGTTTTGATGGTGCAATTTAGGTTTTTGAATTTGTTTAAACAGAAAGGCAATTTCTGAGCATTCTTGGTATTTCTCTTCTTGTTTCCTTTCTGTTTATCCCTTACGCGAAACAATTTCAGACCTTTTCCATCATAGTGTCCATTGTTTGTTTGTTTTCTTTTGTCCCTGCCTTTCTGATTTCTTAGTTGTTAGTTTGTAACGTGGTATTCATTGTTTTAGTTGTGTACTCTATTGTTTGCCATGGGTGAAATATTAGAGAATATGTCACTTATGACATAGTAAGTGAAGGCAGCCCATTGATTCTCTTAAATTGATTTCTTTTACTTTCTTCTTTTGTACTTTTTTGGAGTGATTAAAAAGTGATCTCCGAATTTGTCTTGAATCTATGATTTGAAGGCTCTTTGTCATCAAAAAAATGAAATCAAAACGGATCCAAAGTTTTCTATTCAAATTCCAAAGTTAGTTCAACAATGTCCACTCTAAGACGATTTGACCAGTCACTTGCATTTAGTGCACAAAGAAGTGATCATACATATTGCTTTTTCATTGATCACGAAAGTAACAAAGTCAAACATGTTTGAGTTTTCCACCCTTTTGGTTGGATAATCTTTTCATTTCTAAAGTCATACTTCTTGGGTAGTGATATAAAAAATGTTGGGGAAACTTTGCTCCTAATGCGTTCGTGTAGGTTGGCACTACCCAAAAAGTATGACATCACTACCCAAAAAGTATGACTTTAGAAATGAAAAGATGATCCAACCAAAAGGGAGGAAAACTCATACATGTTTGACTTTGTTACTTTCGTGATCAATGAAGAAGCAACATGATCACTTCTTTGTGCACTAAATGCAAGTGATTGGTCAGATCGTCCTAGGAGTGGATATTGTTGAACCAACTTTGGAATTCAAATAAAGAATTTTGAATACAACCAAATATCTCTAAGGATCATTGCCTTTTGCTTTGATTTTGATTTCATTTTGTTGATGACAAAGAGCCTTCAAATTATAGATTCAAGACAAATTCAGAGATCACTTTTTAATCACTCTAAAAAACAAAACAAAAAAGTAAAAAAAAACCAATTTAAGAGAAGCAATGGGCTGCCTTTACTCACTAAGTGGCAAACAATAGAATACAATACACAACTAAAACAATAAGTACCACGATACAAACCATCAACTAAGAAACCATAAAAGCAAGGACCAAACAAAACAAACAAACAATGGATACTATGATAAAAAAAAAGGTCTAAAATTGTTCCGCGTAAGGGATAAACAGAAGGGAAACAACACAAAAAAAGAAGAGAAATACCAAGAATTCCCAGAAATTACCTTTATGTTTAAACAAATTTAAAAACTCAAATTGCACCATCAAAACCTAGTAATTAAAAGAAAAACTTAGTCGTATCTTCAATATAACAGTACAGTTACACTACAAAATCTTGTTTAACTACAATAATCAACCGTGCTTTGCATGAGCATAAGAACAGACAAAGCCCTGATCTTTAAGTTTTTAATCACGCACGATGCATATCGGGCCTCTCTGAGAGTATTTTCACCAAAGAAGAAAGCCCCAATGCTCAGTGCTAAAACGTCGGCATCAAGTATTTTCCTTGCTAAAAAATAAATAAATAAACTAGATGTTACAAGGTTAAACAATGCACGAAGAAATGAAAGAAGTTTCGATCAAATTAGGTGAATTACGAGAAAATTTCTAATCAAATTCAAAATAAAAAATTAAAAACCTTTGAAATAATTTTATGCGTTTTTCTTGATTGTATTTAACGAACTCTTTAATCCTAAACCCAGATTTCAACTTTTATGCCTTTTTCTTGATTGTATTTAACAAACTCTTTAGTCCAGATTTCAAAAGGTAGGAATATGGGGAAGATGATTGTTGAAGGTTCAACAGGTTGATGAACAACAACTGCCCACCTTCCCCTATTTGATTCGATATTGCAGGGAACTCTTTCGGATCAGAGTGCATTGATTCTAGCACTACGCCGATACACACAATCCCTGCCTTCATTTTTCCATTCACTAATCTACATAAATCATAACTCATCACTTCAACAAAATTAACTAAAACATATACCAACCTTAACAAATAGACGAGAAAAGTAGCAGAAATTGGTTACACGGCGCGGAGGATGATAAGTGCAAGGCAGCGTGCGCTGTCTATATATAGTAGGAGGAATACGAAGCGTTTCACACTAGGGTTTTGTGGCCTTCATTTCCCAAAACTACCCTTCAAATCCATCACGCTGGCCTTTAATTTTCAGCGAGTCTACATCCAGCCCAGATGATTTGCTGAAAATAATATTTCAGCCCACTTGACCCAAATTAGTTCTCACAATTTTTTTTTTCTTCAAACAAAGGATATTATTATTTCTATTAATTAATGAAATCCTATTTGTCAACAATTAATAAGAATCTAACCTAATCTTACTAACAAGTAAAGAGGAATATCACTAGACCGTAGCACTAAGTGGCAGATTAGTTCTTACAATCTATGTATCCCAAGTCATATCTAGTGACATGAAATTATGACATCATATAATATAAACCTGTTGTTCTCTTTATTATCATCTGAAGGTTATACTTAGTAAAATTTATTTGATTTACAGGCGGTTTAGCTGTCTATATATTGCAACAAATAATATTTTCTTTATAAATCGTCAATTTGTTTGATTCATGTAAGGAATTAAGCAACGTCCGAAAGATCAATACATCTTAGTTGAACTCATTGGTGCAATGTGAATTCAAGATTCCCCTAAATACAATAAATATTTTTTTTATTAAGCCTTACACATTCAGTGGTAAAATAAACATTTCAAGTGGAATGCAACGTTATTCTATTGGGGTTTGGATATAGACCCCTCATTTTTAAATGTCATAGACTAAACATCTATTGTTTTTGAAAATTTGATTAAACATTTTCCCTACAATTTTGGTCTTTAATTGCATTTCATTTTATTTTATTAGAAAGATATTCATGTTATTTCTTTACTGCATTCCCTTTTTTTCCTCCTGTTCTTATGCATCTCTTATTATGATGATTTCAGATATTTTTTTTTTAATTTTTTATTAAAATATTTATTTTAGTAAATTAAAATAGAATGTAAAAACAAGTCGTCGTTAGGTACGTTTGGTTACTTTTACGATATATTTGAATTTTGGTACATTTGGCTTCTTGGTACACTTGAATTTTTGGTACATTTGGTTTCTTGGTACATTTAATTTTTGGTAAATTTGAATTTTTGGTACATTTAACTTTTGGTACATTTGAATTTTTGGTATGTTTGTTTTTTTTTTTTTTTTTTACTAATAATGAGGAACTACTTTAATTGTTTAATAAAAAAAATTATAGAAAGAGTCATTAAAATGTAGGAGGTTAAATTACTTTAATTAATTGATTTTTTTAGAAAGAGTCATTAAATCGTAGGAGTTTAAAAGGGAAAATTAAATTTTCTAGATTGTAGGCAATTAGTTACAAGGTGAAGTGAAGGTGCCTTTAAACTAATTATATGTAATTTAAAAAATAGAAAAATGTGATGTGGCAAATGGTCAAAGCCTCTTAATCAAATCCTAGAAAAGAACCAATGTTTCATCTAAAAAGTATTGAAAAAATCCAGGGGATTCTAATTTCTCCCACAGTAATTTGCGCTCGTCGTTCATTGGTCTAGAACAAATGTACAAACATACCCCTAGACCGTAGTGCTAGAGTAGCCTAGCCCACTCTTTACAAATCAAAGTTTATAGCAAACTTTAGTAAACTAGAAAAAAAAAACACTACTAGAGTAGAAACTCAAGAAAACTACACTCTAAGCGAGATGTATTCAATTGGGAATTTAAGAGATTTTAATGAATTTATAAATTCATGGATTTTTATGAAGTTTAACTGATTTGTAGAGATTCCATGTAAAATTTTGATTTAATTCCCTCAAAATCTCATGGGGAGAGGTGAGATTTGTGGATACTTAAAATACACTACAAAATCTCTCCAATTCCATCATTCCTCAACTTTTCCAAATTCTTTAATTAAAGAGAAAATTATAATTAGATGCCTCATTTTAGACTTTTGTGGACTAAACATTTATGCTTTTTGAGTTTTTTTATTAAGCTTTTGAAACATTTGATTAAGATACTCAGACTTGAACTACTTCAGATTAATTGAAATTAATTTACATTTAAATATCTACTATATAATTTAAATAATTTCAACTATATTTAAGTCTAAAAATTTAAACTTTTCAAATCTAAATGTACACCCACGCCAAATGGAAACATACCAACATTAAATGAAAACCTACCAACGTCAAACGAAAATGTACCAACACCGAATTAAAACGTACCCATTTATAAACTATATTAAAATGAATATTCATCTTTTTGGAATGTTTAAAAATATGTTTGATTCATACACAATGCTCTAAATAGTCTTGTTTTTTGGTAAATAAGTCTCTGGAACAACTTTTAGTTGATCAGAGATAAATCCTTATTATTGTAGATAATGCTAAATAATAACGATAAATCATATAATTTTGAATTAACAAAAAGGCTATTGTCAGTTGATTAATAACTCTTTCTATAAAAAAAAAATTAATTAAAGTAATTTAAACTTTTAAATGTTAATGACTCTTTCCATAAAAAAAATATATTTAATTATAGTAATTCCTCATTATTAGGACAAAAAGTAATAAAACTTATGCTTTAAAAACAAATGTACTAAAAATTCAAATGTACCAAAAATTCAAATGTACCAAGAAGTCAAATGGACCAAAAAAATCAAATGTGCCAAGTAACTAAATGTACCGTTACAATCAAATGTACCAATAGAACCAAACGTACCTAACAACAAGAATTGTACATTCTATTTAATTTACTCAAATAAATATTTAATAAAAAATAAAACAAATCTTAAATCATCATAATAAGAGATGCATAAAAATAGGAGCAAAAAGGGAATGCTAATGTGAATAGACTTCTAATGAAATAAAATTAAAGTACCAAAATTGTAGGGAAAATGTTTAATCAAATTTGCAAAAGGAATAAATGATTAACCTATGACATTTAAAAATGAGACGTCTATATCAAAACGTCCCTTCTTTAAATTCTAATTCTAATTGAATGCACCTAGAATGTTATAAACTTGTTTAAAATTCTAATTGAATACACCCGGATTTTTAAGGATTTTAATAAGGGGAAACTTGATATAAGTCCAATTTTTTGAGCCAATTGTAGGAATAGTCCAGTTTATTAAAATAAGTCCAATTTGTTATATTTAATTATTTAATTATCAATAGTTATCTGTTCAATGATAAGATTTATTATAAAAATCAAATTTCTTCCCAATTATCTCTTTGCTTATTTCTTTTTATTTATCTTTTTGTTATTTCTCGTTCTTCCTCCTACTTTAAACCCCATTTATAGATTTTATTTTTAATTTTTATAATCAACCTATATCACAGGTTAATTATATTTATCTACCTATATGACAGATTCTTTTTTTATAATCAACCTGTCACAGATTAATGTGTCTTACTTGTAGGTATGTTATGTTTTTTCTACATTTTAATTAGGTTTCATATCTCATGTATAGGTATTATATACATTCATATGTTTGTTACTTGAGTTAGGGTAGAATGTTTTGTAGATAAATTTATGTTAGTATATTAGTTTTTTTGTTATAAGATATTAAATATATTCTTTTGGAGTTGGAAAATGCATAATATTAGAAGATTTTAATTGATTTTTAATATTTTTAGAAAATATAAAATGAGTATAAAAGAAATAAAAACAAATAATTAGATAACTGGACTCACTCCTAAAAACACTCTACATTTTTGGACCTGGATCTAAAAGCCCCTTTTAATAAACTATCTTAAAATCTTAATTGAATACACATTGAATTTCAAAGAATCACTTAAAATCCAGATTGAATACCAATGGATTCATTAAAAGAATTAAAATCCCTCAAAATCCCAATTGAATACATCCCCTAAATGTCATTTGTAATATCTAATCTAATTTACCCCCACTTCCAACATCAAATCATATGTTCCATCTGTAATCGACTGCCACATTACACGGCGTCAATGCTAGAACAATCTGGTAAATACTAGAAGAAGAGCTTGGTACCAAAAAATTTGTAACTGATTGCATAGCCGTACCCTCATTTGATCCAAGTGAAATGAGATGAACGCATCGTATGCAACACCTTCTCGCTATAAAAGAGGTTCGTCTGCATCATTAAAACCAAAAGGGTAAGCTTATTAGTAAATTCACAAGCTCAATTATTCCATGCTATAGTACGATAAAAAGTTGCAGTTGATAAGATGAATGGTTCCTACCGTCACGGTCATCTTCCATATTGTATTCATCTTCATCATCATCAAAATCAGAGTGCTGCAAGACCATATAGTTTCATTAGAAACATTTTGTTTTCCCACACACGGCGAGAGCCATCACCTAATCCTACTAGAATCAAGTAAATAATAAGAACGGAAACAAAACTATAAGGGAAACTAAATTAAAATAGCCCTTGTTCATTCTGCGCCAACATGCCTTCTAGTTCCGAACTTGAATATTCGTGAATCGAACTTCTAACAAAAGAAGTGATTACTTGTAAATAAATAAAAAATCTAATAAATATATAAAACCCACTATTTCCTTTACGAACCTTATAATAATCATCATCACTAAAGTCGTCGTCCTCTGGTTCCTCCTCCTCTTCATTTTCATCTTCATCCTCACCTTCACCTTCTTTCTTTTCTTTTGCATCATTTTGGCCCTACAAAGGAGAAACGTTATCAACAAAAAAAAGTTAATGCATACAAAAATTAAACTACCAATGACAAGACAAAATCTTTAAACCACAAATAATAGATTCTTTTCATGGACAAATTTACGGTGATCTTTGACTCAAAGTATTGTAGTTACAGACACTCTAAAGACTTTCTCATACCTGACGCTGCTCGAGCTTTTCAAATAAATCCAACTTCTCCAGCCCTGTCAGAGTGATATTCTTAATCAGTTAGATTCAAAATACCTACAGAACAAAGAAAAACGCAGAAACATATGATATAAGACGGCACAAAAAAGAAAGCATCTAATCTCATAGTACCTGAGTTAGGATTCCATCGAACTCTCCTTCGACCTGGCTGCTGCACCCTTGAACCTGAAATACCATTGCATCAGCATGCATGCAAAAACCAAAAGGGCAGCCATAAAATACGATTATTCAGATTAGAAACCTTCAGTCAGTTCTTGAGGAAATCCCTTGAGCTCCAATATACTAAAAAGAGAACCACGCCTTACCATGGTTTTTGGCTTTGATTTGTCAGAAAATCTTTCAACCTCTGCGTTTTGCCTCTCTGCAACCACATGTTCTAGAAGTGTATTATTATCAAACATAATCTTGTATAATTTCAAAGAAGCCAAAAAATAATTAAGAATCGAATCAGAAGCAATATGGTATTCGAATAAAATGCCAGTATGGACCAATATTTTTAATGAACTGACAAGTTTAAGCAAAAACAAAAGTGTAACATGCACATGTTGAATATAATACCACTATATAAAAAATCAACTTAAAAAAATACTTATATTTTGAACAAGAATTAGTAGCATGCAACAAATATCCTTTTGAGAAAAAAGAAAGTTTGAAATTATTGTGATTTATGAATCTGCTTCGATTAAACATTTGCTGATCGTGTCACTTTGCATAATGGCCACAAACAGAAGAAAATGTGTTGTTGATAGGATTACAAGCACACCACAAAGTAGCACACAAATATCCTATTGATTTTCCTTATTAACACTAATATTTGTCAATTGTAGCATATGAAAATAAGGGTCTTTCCCGCAGAAGATTGTTTTATCTAACTACTTAAAATGTCACAAAAATTGGGTTGCTGTCCCTACTGACCAGCCACCGAAAAATAATTATTAGACTGACTTACACTTATCTAAAGTCTACGAAATTTTATATGCAGATACTAGACACACAGAGCTACACTCACACAAAATTTTGGGATTTTTGGAGTTGATTTGCTATTTAAATTAAATCGAACAAAAACAGAACAGAGACAGATTTTTGAGTAGTTCACAAATTAAGAAAAACGAGTTAGGGGAATTGCTATCCACCACCAAATAATCATGCAAACATGTTATGTTTCATTCAAATTCCTTCTATTTTTGGATGAAGATGCTCAAGTTGGCTCAATGTTAGAACCCAACCTATTACTCTTTCTTATGTAGTATGCTAAGAGAATGGCGTTTTCAACTTAACTTAGTCCCTAACATGCAATCTAGAATGGTGTGTTCATAGATTTAACAAGTAGAAATCATTAAGAACGAAAAGAGTTTGAGTCATCACAAGGCATCGTAAGTACTAGCGTTGTCTTACTTATCCTAGAAATTGATTCACATGTTAATCGCAATTAACAAGTACTACTCTAGAACATATGTAGGTCCTCATTCGACAAGGGCAGGCACACACATATTCATAGCATTAGAATCCTAGATATGCTTACTAAGTATGCATCCATAGAAAACACAAAAAGAATTCATCAATGAGACAAGTAGTGAACCAATTTTCATCCATTCGTAAAAGTAATTCAAATGAAATGTCATAACAAACTTGCAATCATATTCGGGGCTTCAAAACAGCCCCTAACTACTAAAAATTAGTTACACATAATTCTCAAATTAAACCAAAAGAAAGACATGAGTTTGAGAAGATAAAACCGAGAGAAGAGAATGCCAAGATTTCCTCCTTCCTTTCCTTCCTTCCCCAACGCAGCAGCCTTCCTTTTTCCCTTGCTTTGCTTCTTTTTTTTCTCTCTTTTTTTTCACACTTTTTTCTCCCCCTTTGTTGCTGCAACCTGTAGGTATTTTCTTCTTCTCTGCTGCCACAGTTTTTTCTCCATAACTCACCCCACTAACAGCCATTTAGTGATGACAATAAGTGGGAGGAAATGCCAAAACAATTGTAACTCTTTGGGCAGCCTTTATGCCCATTACTCTCACTTAATTTTTCATTTCCTCTGATATTTGAATAGGTGTTAGCTGGCTTGTTCTTGGCTGCATCAGTTTTGGCTGTTAGTTTTATGGGATTTATTGCTTTCAATGCTTCTTTGTCAGTTACAAACTGCTCAGCCTCCTGGGAACCTTTCAGTGTTTGAACGGCCATAACTTTTTCTAGAAAAATGATATTAACAATCTGTAAAATGTTCCAGAAAATAGACATCCGTAGCTTTCCAAGCATACAAGGCTCATTCTCTAATTCATTCTGAGCTGTCCGCAACTGGCTTCCAAAGTCAGCTGACCTGCACAGGCAGTTTTGACGAATTTATTACTTAACATTCCACTTGTGTTATTTTTCTTTTCTTTACTTGACAAATCCTAAAAAACACAAAAACAAGGTAAATAACTCAAAAATATAAGGAACTAACTAAGAAAAGACAAGTGAATTTGATATAAAATATATATAAATATGAGCTTATCAAATACCCCCACACTTAGCTTTTGCTAGTCCTCTAGCAAAACAAAGAAAACATGAAAAAGTAGCAACATGAAAAACATTAGCTCCCCACTATGTCACCCTCATAGAATTTCATTCAAGAAAACAAATCATCAAGAACCTTAGCTAGCACCAAGCAAGCTAATCCAAGCTCATCTTCCTTATTCAAATGTTAACAACTACCTTTTAATCATCCTTGAAGTGTAGTGTGTGTAATAGCCATGCTAATGCAATTTCAAGTTTTGTTTTAAAACACTACATGCAAACTAGTGACCTTCTCACGGGACATACACTCAATCACACATATGTTTAGTTTAACGTGTTTCGCTCAAAGAATCAAATGTGAAAGATCTACCATAAGCTTGCATAAAGATCTCATCTCCACAATCATAATTGCAAAACTAAAATCAAGAGGACTTTTATTGGTTGTAATGAGGCTTAGGGAGGGGGTTATAGAAATGAAAGGATAGGTAAACACAAGTTCCAAGCTACATTGCAAGCAATTCTCTTGTTGAGATTTATAAGAACTCAAGCTCTCCAACCACTCTACTAATACCTCCAATCACACCCCTAAACTTTTTATTTGCTTTGTATACAAAAATTTTTCTTCTCCTTTTTTTTCTTCTCTTTTTTTTTTTTTTTTTTTTTTTTTTTTTGAACCAATTTTCGCATATAACTAAATACAAACATGAAATACCCCCACACTTATTCTTTTGCCAAACTCTTTCAAAGTACTTCACAAACATTTCTCATAAGACAATCTCACATTGCTCACTAGCTAGCTTGGAAAGGGTAAGGAAAAATGTTTAAGGTATAAGGGCAGACATATCTGGTGATAAGAATTAAAAGGCTTAACATATAGGCTCAAATTGGCAATCTAATGATATCATTTTTCTTTAGGAAACATGCTTATTTGGGCCATGGTGATAAACCTAATGCCTCTATCCTTTTCAAGTTCATGCAATCAATGACAAACATTTCGAAAGATCATTACGCAAGTTCTAGAGATGTAAGTCACATAAGTTCATCACACATGAAAGAATATGAGTGTATGAAAAATGCACACACTTTCGATAGGCTCAAAAACTCACATAGGTTGTATATGGTCACTATGTTCACATACGAAGCTTTAAATCATGCTTTAGTTTCACATCAACAAGGCTATGTGCTTTTGGTTTTTCAAAGATGATTAAACATGTACAAAGCTAACAAGAGAATAAGGAACTTCACACAATACATGCTTACTAAGTTCTTGATCACCGTGGTTCAAATTCAATCCAGTTGTATCATTGGGTCGGGAAACTAACAAAAATCTAATTCAAAACAATAAATAAAATAAGACTATTTTTGGATTTTTCATTTTTAGAAATTTCTCTTTTTTTTTAATATTTTTTTTTTTTTAAGAGTCAACAAAACTAATTAAGAAAACAAAAAAAAAACAAGGAAACAAATTAAACCAGTTCTTAGTCAAAGGGACGAAAATTTTCAATTTGGTCATTTTTTCAATCCTTACCCCCAAACCTAAACTGGACATTGTCCCCAATGTCATAAAACACAATAATGCATAAAATAAAAAATAAAAATGAAATAAAATACTAAGAAACAAAATAAAGCATTTGGACTGAAAACTTCCCCAATTTGCAATAAAATCAAGTGATGACCCCCAAACTTCAATTCTGCAATCAACTCCAAGGGTGGACATAACCTAAGATTCCTACAAAGAAAAGAAATACTTCAGCTTAGCACGCATGAAAACTCAGAAAACAAAACAAACGAAAAATTGAAAATGACATAAAAAGATAATGAATAGAAATATTGGGTTGCCTCCCAATAAGCGCTTGCTTTTATGTCCTCAGCCGGACGGTACCAAGAGTAATCATTCAAGGGAAGCTGGTTCTTGGAGGGGTACAACCTCCACATCATGCTCCGCAAAAGACTCGTAATATGGTTTGAGTCTATGTCCATTCACTTTGAACAGGTTTCTGGTCTTTGCACTTTGGATTTCCACTGCACCATGAGGAAAAATATTAGTTATAACAAACGGACCAACCCATCGAGAACGAAGCTTACCTGGAAATAACCGAAGGCGACAATTAAATAGAAGAACTTTTTGTCCAATGGCAAAGCTCTTCCTTGATATCATCTTGTCATGAAATGCCTTTGATTTCTCCTTGTATATTCGACTAGACTCGTATGCATCATTCCGAATTTCATCTAACTCATTCAATTGAAGCTTCCTCTGCTGTCCGGCAACACTCATGTCCATGTTGTAGGCTTTGATAGCCCAATAAGCTTTGTGTTCTAATTCTACTGGAAGACGGCATGGTTTCCCATAAACTAATCGAAATGGGGACATTCCAATAGGAGTCTTATAAGCAGTCCTATAAGCCCACAATGCATCGTTCAAGCGCATGCTCCAATCCTTCCTACTAGGACTCACAGTTTTCTCCAAAATTTGCTTTACCTCACGGTTTGATACTTCTGCTTGACCACTAGTTTGCGGATGATAAGGTGTAGACACCTTATGTGTGACATTGTACTTCCTAAGCAACGCTTCAAATGTTCTATTGCAAAAGTGACTCCCTCCATCGCTAATGATTGCTCTAGGTGTGCCAAATCTTGCAAAGATGTTAGTCTTAATAAAATCTGAAACAATTTTTGAATCATTAGTTTTGGTGGCTTTCCCTTCCACCCATTTAGAAACATAATCCACAGCCAATAAAATGTAAAGAAAACCATTTGAAGATGGAAAAGGTCCCATGAAATCAATGCCCCATACATCAAAGATCTCAACAATCAAAATAGGGGTTTGTGGCATTTGATTTCTTGGGCCCAAGTTACCTGTTCGTT